TAAAAAAAAAAAAAAAAAAAAAAAAAAAAATTAATAATTCAAAAAAACAAAAAAAAAAAAGAAAAAAAGAAAAAATGAAAAAAAAAAAAAATATAAAAATATAAAAATTAAATTAACTTTCTTAATTCAAAAAATTAAGAAGGAAAAAAATATAAACACATATTTTCAAAAATTAAATAGAAAAAACTAATAATAATAATAAAAGTAGAAAACAAAGTATTAAATATACATTGAATAAATAAAAAAAAAAATATATTTTTGTAAAAATTTTTTTTACCTTTTAAAAACAAAAAAAAAATAAGTTATATGTATTAAGGGTTAATTTAATTCATGATAAAAACGTACAAAATCTAATTCCTTAAATTTTAAAATTTAATTCTTTATTTTATTTTATTTTATTTTTTTTTTTTTTTTTGTTCCTTTTGAGAGAAATAATATATTCTTCATTTAAAATCATTTAAAAAAAACATCTCTCTTAATAAAAATTATAGAAATTCTATATTAGAATAAAATTCTATAAAGGAAAAAAGGAGAAATAATATTAATGTATTTAAATATGTATTTATGAAATATATTTATATTTTATTCATACTTATTTAAAAGGTCTAAATAAAGAAACTTTTTTTCATCATTAATATTTTGATAAGAAAATATGTTAACCTAATGAATAAAAAAAGAAACAACATACAATATAAATTAGATAAGATACATATTATATTTTAAAAAAAAAAATAAAACAAGTTAATCCTATTAACAAAATTATATAATTTAAAGTATGTTATTTATAATTGTGTTATTTATATAATGGATACACATTCATGTGATGAATATTGATGTAATTTTGTGTGCAAATATAATTTTTTTAATTATTACTAATTTTTTTCTTTTTTCAATATCTATATCAGAAAAATGAATATCTTTGTCAATCATATGTAATTTGATTAAATTATAAATTTCTTCAATACTTTTCTGCAAAATAATAGGAAAAAATTATATATATGTATATGTATATATATATATATATATATATATATATATAATATTATTTTTATTTAAATTTCATTTTTTTTTTTTTTTTTTTTTTTTTTT